GGATGACGTTCCTTTCTTTTTTAACCATTCAAGACAACATTCACTTTCTTTAGTAGAAGAGTCCTTTTAGACATCATTTACAATTCATGTCATATAAACTTCTTTCGTTTTTGCAATCCCGAAAAACCAAATGTAACTTGTGCTCTTTGTGCTTCCCTCACTTTAATATTCCACTAGGGAATAAGAAGTGTAATGGTTCTGAGATCCATCATGCACCAATTTTTGAGTTGGTCGAACCTTCAAAAGGTGTAGCCAAATGCTTACCTCTTTATGTTTACTCATTCCAACAAGTGCAAATCTGGTATAAGCAAGCCATTTTACACATTTTTTCATGAATCTACATTTCCTAACAGTCAAAGCAACAGATCCTTGGTTATGACTATCACATTAACAACCAAGTAGGATCCTTTCGTCACTTTAAACACCACAAATTTGTTGTCACGGAATTCCAAGAACATTGGCGATGAACTAGATCTAATACTCCAAGATAATCAATGAAGCTTCTTTCTAGTACATTATCTGTTCATGATATTTTTTGCATGTTTATTTCAAGCAGATCTAATATAAGGTTGAATAACCATCTCGAAATACTGAAAGGCCAAAGCAAAACAACCGGGGTACTAAATGCCCAGAGGTAATGCCACTTTGGAACCAAATTTGATTGTGTGGATATAACTTGGTAATCATATTTTTAATGTCTCATGTTTTTTTTTTTTTTTTTTTTTTTTTTTTTTTTTTTTTTTGAATTTTCTATCCAACTGCACATAATTGTCTGGTGCAACCATAAAAACTTTAGACAAATCTATTCAATCCAGCTACAACAGCACAATTCAAATGCTGCTAGCATCTCCAAAAGGTATCACTTTTCATCAATTTCACGCAAATGAAATATGAGAGAGGTGAACAATTTAGAAGAGAGAAGCAAGACTTTCAAAATATAAAAGCAAGAACATGTATCTTGAGTAACCTGCCCCTACATAATCCAGACACAGCTTGATTTCTTTTTTTTAAGATCCTACCTATACGTTTCATCTGTTAAAATAAAAGCAAATTGGACAAATAAAAGGAGATTTAGATTAAATGGGATAATTCAGAAGGGAGTGCTTACCTGATTACGGTATACAAGGTAGGCAAGGGAAAGATAAACCAGCAAGAATGGCAGTATCAAAGGAGACAATGTGGAATACACAAAGCCAAAAAGCCCAAATAGAAGGATCCTTGGAACTTCTGTATGGTATGGAAAAGTCAATGTGCCGTATGTAGAGACATCCTTGTTTCTGAGAACAAATCTATAGAATAAGTTGCAGAGTAGACCAAATGGTTGCATGAGTTCACATGATAGACTTGCCCAGCCTGATGTCAAAACATAAGTCATAAAAAAGGTGGCCTGCAAAAAAATATATTAATCATCACAATTGGTGAATTCTTCAAGTCACAAGGTGAAGGTTAGGAGATCAAAAATAGACCACTTCATTGTGAAGGGAAAGTACTCAATAAGGAAATGTAAACAAAAGGGAAAAAGAGAAATTAGGTATAGTTTTTCCAGGGTCTCCCATTTCCTAATTGGACAGCTTAGAGGCAGTGATGACACATTATGCTCTGCAGTTTTTGTTTTAATTCCTCTAACATTCTCTTCACAAGTTGGACTAATAGCAGTTTCTGCCCTTTATCATATCTAATTTTAGATATAGGAAATAGGACATGTATTTTCCACAAAGGACTAGTACCTTCTCACCCCATTAATCTTGAATGAAGTGTGGTCCAACTGAGAAGCGACTTTCTCCTACCACGACATTAATAAATAATAACTACACTAAAGAAGACTAGCTCTAGCGTCCGTCAACCAATAAAATGGCTAAACTTAAACCTAGTATTAGCGTTATTGCTTTCTCTAAGGAAGCATTATAGAAACATGATGAATTCCTAAAATCAAATATTTGTCGATTTAATATTTGAGGATTGAGATAACAAGGTGCGGCGAAGGGAAAGCAGGTAAACACACATATACACATAAAGGAGGCAGGTTACCGTTGATGGTACTGCCANAATGGCTAAACTTAAACCTAGTATTAGCGTTATTGCTATCTCTAAGGAAGCATTATAGAAACATGATGAATTCCTAAAATCAAATATTTGTCGATTTAGTATTTGAGGATTGAGAGAACAAGGTACAGCGAAGGGAAAGCAGGTAAACACACACATACACATAAAGGAGGCAGCTTACCGTTGATGGCACTGCTGTTGCAAGTAGGTTTTTTACATCCTTAAAAAACTTAGAGAACCTCTCGATCACAGACCCCGAGAGGATGTTACCAAAGAAAACATTCCAGATGAAGAAACACAAAACTTTTATGCAAGCACTCCTCTTCCTGTCACTACGAGAGATAGAGCCTTCCATTGTAGAAAATAACAACATTATTGGAGGAACCATGTACATAAATATTATTAACACGACACTTGGTAGATATCCCGTAGCCAGCTGACTCATTGCTTTCCTGCAAGAAAGAAAAGGAAAAGGAAAAGGATAGCCATGTTGCCCATGGATGTAGCTCAGACTTAACAAACCTGTAGGAATAAATTTGATCTCTAGTCTCAAGGTTAATACAGAGAATGAAAAGACACATCAAAGTTAGTAGCTAAACAAAAACAGTGCAAAGACTGAGGAAGGTGGTAAATCATTTTGGAAAAAAAAGGTCAACCTTGAGTCAAGAAACGGAATTTATTTCTCATATGTGTTTTTGTGTATGTGTGTGTATGAATGGTCAATACCTGTACTCTGTGAAAAAATAGATTTGCTATGGTAAAATCTTTAAACATAGAAAATTAGGGCTATATTTTACCAAAATGGGCAGTGACAGGACTACCTCTGTAAAATTCCTCTAAGAAATGGAAATGTCTTCTGAAGCTTGTCGAGGTGAACAAGACCTTGTGTTAATGAAACAGGCACAATGAAAAATGCCACCAAAGCCATCGAGGCCACAAGAATAGCTATTTTGCGGATCCAAAGGAGTCTATACGGGACACAAATGTTTGACCAATACATATCGTCTGGTTCTGGAGAAAGATCTGTGACCCATGACATGGGATTTCGAGATTGAAGACCCTGAGAAGCAACCAAAGCAGCATAGCGATTCCTGAAAAAAACTAAAGCAGCTGCAGACTCCTGCAGGAATAATTTGCATATTCATTTCACCTCTTATTTTGGCTAGGGTACCGAAACATGCAGCTAATTCAAAATTTTCAAGACAAAACAGTCGAGCACAAAGAAGCAATCTCTAGTATATGACACTCTAATCTCTTTACTAGTTAAATTCAGGATAAGTAACTTAGTACTGTTTTTCCCTTTGAAGATTAAGCAAACCGAGAACTGTGCAGTGAAGTAACCTTTACCAAGCTGCATGAGAACTAAGAAGTTGATAGTGCTGCACATCTGAAGCCTCAAATGAACCCAGATATATAATCCGAAGAAGGTAAAGTTCCTCCTATGGCGTATTGAAGCTTCTTCTCTAAAGATGCTATGACTTTTTCTAGCAATCAGTGTTAGTCATGACAATCATCTTATTTGCAAGAATAAAGGAATCAATTAAGTACCTTTTTCCTCAAATCTGAACCGTCAAAATCACTTCTTCCTTTGTCAGTTTCCGCCTCCATGGGAAGCATACTAAATGATGCTGTTGTTCCACAAAGGCCACATCTCATGGAACTTGATCCACAATGTAGTTCCCTAGGTGTCAGTTTCAGCATCTTGCACATCTTCCCTGCATCAGTCTGCAGTCAAGCAACATGTGGCACATTAACAACCAGAAGAAATAAATAAAGAGCACGAATAATGTCAAACCACTAGTGCAAGCAGAAGTCTTCATCAAGATCAAGATAATTTACTTTATTTAGTTCACATAAATATGATTACTCGAGTAGTAGTTCTTTTAAACTAGGGCCATGGAAACTCATAGGAGTTGGCATTACACTAAATAACCTAGACCCTGTCAATAATCGCAGAGAGTGCATTATTCAAGAAGAAAAATTAGATACTATTCCTGAGGCTTCGAGCACCTTATGTCTACCATGAAGATAACTATCTCTACATTTCTAAGGAGAATTACTAGTTTTCATTGTGGAAGATAAATTGCCAGCATCAAAAACTAACTCTTTTTGCAGTTAAGTTTTTCAGTATCATGAACTGCAGTTTCAAAACCATTTTGAGCTTATACATATCAAGGATGCTACAAGAAAAGAAAAATTTAAACATCTTCATCCTTATTTACAAACATCTACAGAAAAGTAATACATAGCACCTGGTACAAACTCGAAGCCATTTTCTCACCACTATGGCCTTACAAAGTGAAAATTTTCAACTCATATTAATATTTAGTTGGAACCAGAAGAGGATAATAGATGTGGTACAGAAGAGAAACTTCAAAGCCACATCAAGATTTCCATAGATGCAAGGGATAAATTTCCATAGTGAGTCTACCAAAAAGGAGTGAATACCCACCACCAGTTTCTGAACAGAGCCAGATCGATAAACGATTTGATGAGATAAATAACTTGATGCATAGAAATTTGTGAAGAATCTTGTCACTGTTCCACTGTATGATTCTTGTCGTGACCATGGGATGGCACGAACAAGAACTGTGAAGTAACTTGGGTTGGAAACAGATGAAGTAAAGTAAGCCAGCCTCATCCTTGAAATACTTTTGTACTCCTAAAAGCAAGTGAAGACCTTTTATGAAAAAAGAACCGACATACATATATACATGCTATCGCATAGTACTAAGGATCAAGTATGAAATACATACATTTTTAAAGAAAAGCAGAAAATGAAAATTAACTGCGATTTCTTACAAGGTAAAGAAGAAAACAAGCACAGCACGATATGAGGTACAGCGCAAAGCAGTGAGCCCAAAGCCTGAAGAAGATGAAAGGCAATGTAGGTAAATCTGAACCGGGATTAAAATGGGCCAACAGATTAGAAAACTACGTTTTTCTATAAGATAAAATTAAAGAATCAGGAAACTACCTTCTACATATGCTTCCCTGGTCAACTTACAACACACAATCTATTTAGTAATACTTTCTCTATTCTCAGTAAGATTAACTTCAGGATTACTTAAATAAGTTTCAAAAATGAAAAGAAGACAGAACAAGACATTTGCAGACACTTCAATAAATAACAAGCTTATAGTTCTCATTGTATTTCCAAAATGTGAGTAAAAGAGCCTTTTGCGACATTTATCTAAAGTATGTCCATTGATAAGAGAATAGATTAGTCAACTGCATTTAAATCATTATCAGCACTTTTGTACACGTTTCATACCATCTTGACCCTTCCTCAACATTCACAATGGTGAATACCTCCAATGTCTCAGCTGGAATTTGGTGACGTTGCATCTCTTTTCCAAAATAATTAAGTGGGAGCACAAGGAAATTGCATACGATAGCTGCAATGGAGAATATTCGGAAACTGTCCACAATAAGCAGCAGGAGAGTAAGTCTACTGCAATGGAGCAATGGTTCATAGATATAACAAAGTGCAATAGAAAGGTGGTTCTTCAAGATGAACTTAAACACTGTTGGCGGTGATACAAAAGCCAAGGTAAAAATAATTATCAAGAGAATGAGGTTGAACAACAAAATACTAAGCAGAGATATAAATGTTTAACCGTACTTTCTTTTACAAGTAACATTTATCATGACTTCTACAGGCAATGAGCCAAAAAGTGCAATGTGCTATTCGATATATTCACAAAAAGTATAACTAAGCTTCTTTGGTCACTACATTCTCATAATAGCACACAAATGCATGACTCACTTTGCAGAAGCTACACAGGTCCACTATCACCAGGAAAGACAATCAAAATCACTTAAATATCACATATATATTTGGCCATCCTTACAGTTGTTTAAGCCATCACTAATGACCAGAACACAGATTCCCTTTTGTTTTTGTTAATTTTTCCTTTACGATGCTCCCCAATGAAATCCAATCATCCACCCTTCTAAAGGGATAATGACAGGGCAATTAGAGTAAGCCCTGACTGCTATTTTTGCAATAGGTAAGCAACTTCCCACTAGACAATACAGAAAAATGAATTATGCATATATACTAATCGTCCATGAAAAAATATGCAAGTTCCTTTACTAGAAATTATATGCTTGGTGAAATTTTCCCTACATGATGAAAATGGGAGAAAATTGGGTAAAAGCTATTTTAGACTAATTCATTAAAATTAGTATCAGAAGTTAAATTGACTTTTCTTGAACATTAGAAAATCTAACAACTAAAAAAGTGCTGAAAATTCCAATTTCACCTGAAAACAATCATCCGCACAAATACTACTGCATCCAATCCCCCAGTAGCACTTATTTCTTCATCAGATGTCTCCCATGCCTTGAGGATCCAACTTGGAGAAGGTACAAATCGATCAAAGCGAAAGGCATCCTGTTGTCTTGCTCGTACTTGAGCAATCTTCGCGCCAAAGTAAACATTTACAAAGCTCGGTTGTTTCCTTAAAACCGAATACAAGGAGAACAACACTACACACACTGCAGTATTGACGCCAGCAGAAGTCAACAGAGCAGCTAGCTTCATCTCCGCCCCCAAATATTTTCACAACCTCACTAATTAAGACATGTCATCACTGCTTCCTTCCTTTAAAGATTGGAAAGATCTGGAAACCACAGCAAGTTTGGTGTATTAAGGTCAAGAAACTGCAAAAGTGAAAATCATAGTGAAGGATTCATTTGATACAGTGAATAACTAAAGCAGTTTTCAGTCAAGTAATTATCTGGTGATAACCAGCTAATAAATTGTACAATACACCCAAAAAAAGAAGAATACGAAAAAGATAAAAAATGTAACATTGATACTAAAACTAGCAAAGTAAGAAGTTACGTAGGAAAAGCTTTAGCCTTGCAAACATGCTCATTTGAAATATCCCCTGACACTACGCGTTCTACCTAGCATACAGAAGTCTACTTAAGTTCATTTAATCCAGTGGCTGCACGAGCCTATGTAACATGCACAGCCCGCTGAATAAATCCAATTATAACCAAAATTAAGTTAAAAATAAAAGCTTTACGGTTAAGGTAACTCCTAATTCCATCTTCTTCACAATAATCAGTTTGTGCAAAAAACACTTTTGCATATCAGTTTCCAAGGAGATCAATTCAGAGGCAATAAAGTATTTTGAAACAGCAAAACACCATAATTCATCACATTGAGTCCGTTACTACTAAAAACAATGGTAAAAAAAAACGTACATCAAAACGTTGCCGAAGCAGATTCTAACAAAAATCCGATTAAAAATCAGAAAAACATGAAAGGTTACCAGAAAATCTAATAATCACCTGAAAATTGCAAAACGTTATTTCTTATTTCAGAATGACGAATCTGAACGCAAAAAAAAAAGTATGAAAAAGCGATGAATGCTTGAAGCAACAAAATAGTGATTGCTTGAAACAGAAAGAAACCCTAGAAAGTTCATTGTTCCGTTTTTTGAAGTTGCATTAGGACTTGGGAGAGGAGAGAAGAAGGATCGAATGGGCTCTAATTTTTCGGAAGAAGGAAACAGTGCCAGATAAGAAAGGCGCGTCGATTGCGAAGCGAGTGCGTGAATTATAGAAGTGAGATTTTGTGGGGCCCAATAGAGTTGCCTCGTGGATTTAAGAATGAGGAGAGTTTAAACAGAATGGAACCGTTCCTAACTGTCAATATCCCGGTTTTATTGAAATTTTTCATGCAAATTGACCCGCCGCACTACCCTGTTGTACCTAATGCATTTGCCATTTTTCGGGCATTTTCTTCATTTGTATCATTCGAGTGAATAGAGTTATATTATTTTTGTAAATTTTCTCTTAAGTTCTTGGTCCTTTAAACTTCTGACCCTCTTCTCACAAGCATTGACAATTTTTCAAAATAGCATTATTTTCCATTACATAGCTTGAAAGTCAGAATTTTATTAATTATGCGCCTTAAACATTGTATCAAATTAGGGATTTTTACGCAATTAGCCGGTTGGATTGACTATTAACGTTTGCTAGTCAATATACGTAAATTATTTATTGATTGTACTTGGTAATATAGATATTATATATAACTTATGTACATAAATTATATATTTGGTGGCTATTTTTTTTATTTAAACGGTTAGGTGTGTTCCAAAATATAATAGGTAAAATTTACTTATTAATTTTGGAATCTTTATCTTTTCTGAGACACTGAAGATGATTCCTCCCCCCTAATGACACTTTTCACGATACGTTGTCCAAACTCACCAAAAATGAAACCTATTGATTATGCTGACCTGACCAATCATTATTGCCTACCAATTCTATAATTACCTAAAAATAATACGTTGTGCAAGAAATGTAGTTAGAATTCCTTTATGATAACATATTGCCTTTTTATCTTACATCAAAAGGTTGCTCAACTTGTGGATGACTACTGCAGATAATAAATTTACGTCGAGAAAATAAAATCAAGATCGAAAATGTTGAAACAATCATAGTATTTTATTTTAAATAATATGAGTGTATAATCTCTATAAATCATCTTATTCTTCTTTTCAGCAGTAAATAAATTCAAGGGCCTTCGAACTTGATCTTGAATCTATATTGTTGCCACGAACGATGATCTTTAATTCAACTAGCACGAACTTTGATTTGAACATGTACTCCTTGAACCTTGATTTGTTCTTTGTTCTTGAGCTTGAACTTGATTTCTTGAACAAGAACTTGATTGCTTGAAGCTTGAAACTTGTAGAGAAATTTACGGCATTTGATCTACGAGCTCTTTCTTGCTTATTTTTATAACTTCTGGTGTCTTTTTTTGGGTTACGAAAACCCCTATTTATAATTGTGGGAGGGAAGAGTTATGATAAGAATAAACTCTTTCTTTCCGACCAATCAAATTGAAGTGTGACAAGGCCGCATTTGATTGGCCCAAACACGTCATTGGCACACGTGGCACGGTTTCATTGGCCTTTTAATTTGACTTTACATGCCTTGTCATTTTGACACGTGACATGATCCTATTGGCTTTTCCGTTTGACTTGGCGCGCAACGTCATTTGACACGTGACATCAAACTAGGCTTCTAGGAATATGATATCTTGGGCTTAATAAAGTGGGCTCATCACTTTAGCCCAATTAAATGGGCTAGCAAATGGACTAAGACTTATTTGTTTAATCCATATATGTTGGACTTATATAACTAATCCAATTATATTAGCCCAATAAATTTATTTTAACTAACTAGTTTTAAGGTACGCACTTTGCGCGTGTACCTATATCACATATATAATTTAAAAATTATATATATTAATAAATAATGTATTTGAGTTATTGAAAAAATATAAAAGAAAAAATGCAAGTTTCTAAATATAATGAGTTTTAATCAGAAATTCTACTCCACATAAGTCTTTATATGTCTTATTATGATTTATGAGATATGGAATATATATCTTATGAAAATTATTATTATCATTATTACCAAATACTATAAACAAATAAAAAAATATTTTACAATAATTATTCAAAGATAATAAAACAAATTGAAGAATTTGAATTTTTCGGTCTTTTAGAAATTTGTGAGTGAAGAGATAGAACTATAGTTCTTAGAAAAATATTGATAAATAACAATATAATTCTTAAATAGCTAATATTGAACTGCAAAAAATAATGTAATACGATATGAAAAATATAGGGAGCTATCATTTACTGAAATGAGTATAAAAACAAAGAAAAATGATAATGACAATTTTGCTTAATATTTTTTGTCTTATGTTGTATCCTTATTGCTTCAACTTAGCATTTTAGCAATTTAACTTTTAATTCTATATTATGGTAAATTTTGCTCTATTTCTTATTCCTTTCACGACAAATGCTTTTATTGTGAAAACAATTTTTGTACCTTAAGAGTTTTATCAACTTGGCAAATAAGTTTACTTATATAATAATTTTGAAACAAAATTGAATTGACTTTTTTGCTGCTTTATTAATTCAAAGACTTAATTATTTGTTGAGATTTCATGCTTTTATGATAGTATAGAAGATACAAATTATTTTCAAACTTTTGTCATACTCGAGCATGATATTATTTTCTTTATCGTTTATGTAATATTAAAAAGTACATTTAATAATTAGAGTAAATATTTAATTAGGTAAACCTCTTGCTTTAGTAGTAACAGTATATAGATTGTTAGAATTATAGGTTCCTCCTTTTTATGGAAATTATCGTGAGTATATATAAGGACTCTTACTTATCTTAAATAATATCTATTTTAAAGTCCTTAATATTAGGATTTCTTACTTAATTCAATAAGGAAAAATTTAATAATCAAAATTTTAGTTTCTTTTAAAGTACTAAATATTAGGATAATAATAAAATTACCATTTTGTCTAGTATGAATTCTATTTTAAAAAGGTAAAAATGTGAACGATATTTGTGTAAGGGCCTTCGTGCTTTTAATATAGTATAGATAGATATATCTTGAATTTAAAATATAGTCCAAATTATTTTATGGATTTAATTTCAATAAAATTTATATGCCTACAAATGTCCCATATTTCAAATCTTGTCGGATATATTTGTAAAATATTAGAAGAACAGGGATTGAAGTATTACGACTAACACCCCTTTGTTTTCTTTTTTCAAGGAGAATCTTATTTTTGTTTCCATCTCAATATGTAGCTTTCAAGATTAAGTAAACAATTCTTGAACCCAAGTACCAGATGGATTCCCTTAGGCAAACTTTATGTAAACATGGGTTTTGACTGGCATGAACTTAAGTCCAAGACCAAGTCATGTCGGTCTTGAATCGTTTCTCAAACAATAATGCAATTTAAGGCACGTTGCTCCATTTAGAATCCAACTTCTTTCAAATGCTTAATTAGATTCCTACTTGAATTATGGAATATGTGTATTACTATCCGAGGAGTTGTCAAATTACTACATCCCAGTTTACGTTGGAAACTACTTTTTGGAGCTGCCTAAACAGGTGATCCCACATTGCCCAACAAATATTCAACGCCACATCTTGATAGCTGTATAAACTCGTATGCCTTCCCTTTACGAGTATCAATTGCAGTGTTTGCTAGCTACTTCAAAGTCTGTTTTTGACAACTCGACAATATTGACGCGTAAATTCCTGTTCTTTTCTATGCATTTTCTTTTGCCCTTTTTTTTTGTTCCTTTTTTACATAGGCCAAGAAGAGAAAAGTCGTCGAGTGCCAAATTGACATGCAACTCCATGACGTCCCATAGAAGGATAAATCCACGACGGCATATATGTGATCAAATCCACAGCAATATAGACAAATTCCTCGCAACATATAGAAGGACAAATACATCACAATACATAGACGGATAAATTCACATCACCATATAGACACAAATTCACATCACCATATATACGGACAAATCCACATCACTATATAGATGGACAAATCCATACAACATATAGACAAACAAATTCACATCAGCATATAAACGGACAAATCCACATCACTATATAGACGGATAAATCCATATCAACATATAGACGGATAAATCCCCATTACCATATAGACGGACAAATCCCCATTACCATATAGACGGACAAATCCACATCAGCATATAGAAAAATAAATCCATATCACTATATAGATGGTCAAATCCATATTACTATATAGACAGATAAATCCATATCAACATATAGAAGATTAAACCCATGACAGCATATAGAAGGAAAAATTCTTAATCGCATATAGAAATTTGCCTAAAGCACGAAGGACTAGAATCTTATCCTCATTTTGTCAATTGCCGCTGACTTAATATTTACTAATCTTTTTTTTGCTTATGCAGTTTTGAAGAGATGGCTCACTTCAGAGACTACAAATCTCCATCCTCCAATCGCAAGTATCTTATAATTGATGCTAAAAATGGAGGGGTTATAACCAAGCTGTTGACTTACCCTCCACTAGTTGGTCGATATGCAAATCTGTGGCCACCTTTGAAGAATTCCCTCTATATGGTAGATTGGACTTCAGAGGACAGCCAAAAGCCAATCAAAATGTGGTCCCTTCAAACTCCTTACCAACGAAAACTTAATATCGCGAGTACCCTTCATTTCCTAGGATGGCGTATGATTCAAAGGGAGATACGTTGGGGAGATGCTTTGAGAATTGACGGTGAATATCATCATATCCCGGAATAATGGGAATGGGATGAGGACATACTTGGCAGAAGTCAATGGGCTTTGGAGACAGCAAGAATTTATGATGCCTTCTATGCTTCTTTATTTACATATGATCGAAATTCAAACATCTTGCAAGCGTTTCTTGAAGCTTGGTGTCCTACAACAAATACCTTACTTACATCAGCCGGAGAACTATCAATATCTCTTTGGAATTTACATACCATTGACGGTTTACCTATTGGAGGTTCTTCTTACAAAGAAGTTGTGCCCGAAGCTATCGAACTCACAGATGTTAAGGAGAAGAATGAAAGATTTACTCCTTGAGCTTGTGGATACCTGTTTACCGCCTTTAGCCATCTTCAAGAAGGGGAGAGTCATGATCTGAAGGTCTTATTTACCAAGTGGATTGAATTTTGGTGCAAGAGAGAC